TATTCGATAACCATGAATCGCATTTGCAAATGGTGCAATTACGACTCTCGTGGGTCTATAAAACTAATAAATGATCTAATGTGACGTATAGCGTTCTACGGACAATCGTCGATCTTCTTTTTCTGCGCTGAAGGAGTTAAGACAATAAGAAAAACAGACTCAGATTTTAGCGTTGAAGCTGCCTATAACATTGGTGAACGCGGAGTGGAACGGGCGAGAGAGAGCGAAGTCCATTTGGTTCTTGTCACATTCTTGTCAAGCAGGACAGCGTGCCACGTCAATCTCCTCCTCGCTACGTTCCGCCAAGATGTCTCTCTCTTCCTCCTCAGTCCTCAGTATCGGCACCAGGCACGGCTACCGGATCGGCCTGCGTCCGATCGACCATGAAGAGTCGGAATAGATGGATGGACGGACAGATAGACGGACAAGCGTACGATACGTCGGAGAAAAATATAACCGGCGCTCCATGACGCAACCAAACTGCCTCATTAGCTCGGTTTATCCGTAAAAGTGGAAGTTTCGAAATTTATGCTATGGGCGTTAGTCTACCAGATCTACCTGATAACTGCCACGTTGCCTCTTTATAGTATCTCGAAGTGTCTTTCCAGAAGTTTGTACAATTTCTTTCACACCAATAGTCACATTTGTTGCATTCGCATACTTAATGTATGTATACAACGGTATTTAATTCCAGAGAATACTTATCAATGTAGATCTGTGATATTGGAATGCAAATTTTTAATTGCGACTTCTAAACAGAAAGAAAGAACTTAAAAAAACAGCATTGAATATCACTTTATGACGTTCTATGTCAAGCGTTTTTTATGTGTGTTGTATACTTTTATGTGTATATAATACTTTTACGTGTGTTATTGTTATTATTATTATTATTATTGTCACATCATACACATCACACGCGCGCGCACATACGCACTCGACTAATCTAAAATTTATACAAACGAAAGGTAACATATGAGACGGTGCTCATTATTATAGTATCAAGGTACGCGTTATCAAGACAGTGATTTATATTCTGAGATGTTTATAAGATATGTCCAACTATTTCGGAAATAATACAATCGTTACTGAAGGACACATGACAATCTGTGAATTGAACTTGAGGTTTCGAAAAGAATGGAGGGCACCATGCAAAGCCCTGCAAAAATACTGCAACGAGATCCAATTCATCGCGACAGCTTGTGCCATCGATCAATCCGCTCTGGTAAACGAAGAATGGTATAAAATGAAGGTAGATAGGTAAGTAAGGGGCAAGCAGAAGAAAGTAACGATACGGAAAAGGTAGCCGCGCAACGTTGTGTATTCGGTAAGACATTAATTGACACGAATAAAGGTAAGGAAAGAAAGAGCGGGGTGAACGTTTGAAATCTCTCGTTCGCTGAAACGAGGAGGATGTATGTTAGAGGAGGGGGAGGGAGGGGGCACGTAGAGTCCGCATGGCAGCAAAGGTGGGGAATATAGAAACGAGGAGAGCAACGGCAGTCGGCAGCAACAGAAACGACAACAAGAAGGACCGCGCGATGAGAAGAAGAATGAGAATGAAGGATGAGCCGACATCCACGTAGGCGGAGCTCCTGGCTTTGTGAATCGGTTTCGCCGCTCTCGTCGCATTGGCTGCCATCGCACAGACTTCTGTTCCCGACTTTCGCGACCGATCGTCACCCACGTGATCGGCCGATTGTTTCCCGTGCTCGTGCTCGTGCCCGTGACTAGACTCCGGAGCTTTCATCGTTTTCTTCTCGTCGCAGCTCGCAGCACGATCTGTTCTTCCTTTTTCGTCGCCGCTCGCCGCTCTGTCCACTATCGTCGCTTCGTCTTCTTTCTTCTCTTCCCATCTCGGTATCCCCACACTTGTGGCGAACCAAGATTTATGCGTGCCGCCAGTTGAGACGTTCTTCGCGTTTTGCGCGAAGAGATTGAATGTGATAAGCAGACTCTACTCTGTCCCAGTGTATGCGCGATAAGTCGCGGTCTGTTCTAGCTGATCACTCTGAAATGTTTCAAATCACTTGCTGTGTCACAGACACGCATATCGATAATGAGCCAACACGCTCCAATTCACTTAATGTGTCGATCAATTACGTCACTTTCACTAAACTGTGATACTCGATTTTGTGTGTGTGTGTGTGTGAGAGAGAGAGAGAGATGTGAGAATTGAGAGAGAAATCCCGTACACAATCTTTCCAATTTCCTCATATATGTAGATACATATAAAATAAAAATAGAAAAATTCGATAAAGTAACACATAGCCTTTGACTTAATTTGAGTTTACTACTAGTAAAATTATCTATTAATGGCTATAATTGTAGTTAGTTACGAGCTAGATCTGCTAATAATGGTGATCCCTCCGATCGTTTCAAAATTACGATATCTTTTCTAACTTTTCAACCGATTGACTTTTGCGGCTTTTATAGCTTTTTGTGGATCAATTTTCAAAGCAGATTCAAATCGACGCAATTACCATCCTTTAAATATTTTCTATGATCAATTCACAGTTATTTCTTTTGGTGGTAAATCTCTGGTGGTTGATTGTATTGTATATAAAAGCAAATTATTCCCTTGCGAGAACAAAGCCTGCCATTACGTAATTACCATGTACATCAGTTGAACGCGCAATTTCTTTTCCTATGCTATATAATTAATACAAGGTTACAAAGATTACAAAATCAGTGATTCCATCGTCATTAATTATATTAAACGAAACATGCGTTTGCCACATGACATTATCGAATACGGCAATATTAATCCGTGATTTCTTTCAATTTTCTCAAACAGGGCCCACCACCGCGTGTCCCGTCATCGCCAATCAATATGTTAACGAGCGATTTCATGCTGCAGCGAGGGCAAAATAAAAACTAACTAAGGTAGTGAAATCGAGCGAAACGCCTAGGGGCAGTGAAAAAGGGAGAGACAAAGAGAGGACGGCAGACGCGATCGGTAATCGAAGCAGTCGTAGTCGGCGAAGAGTCGCCGCTGGGCGATTCCACCTTCCTTCTGGGTATCTCTTTTGAATGTGCAACGGCCAATTAAAATAATTAGCGACGAAACGAACGAGAGCGAGTTTAGTGCATGATTATTGATACAGATAAAGAGCAAGGGAGATAGATAGACATACGCGAACGCGATGGTCGATGGGATGGAACGGAGAAGTACGCGGAGATGCGTTATTTACGATGGGCTTGATTTAATAACGTCTATCGTAGATGGCTCGTGGCTGCAATCAAACGCAAGTCCATCGACATAAAAATTCGAAATAACTTGAAGGGTTAATAGAGGATTTAAAGTAACTTGAGTTATTAAAATGTTGACGATTCTTTATAATGAAATGCGAAGCTTATCTCTCACAGTCGTCCCGATCGAACGTTTGAAATTTCGATTAGACGTTTTAATTTTCGTGAACGTATCGCACTTCGTGCGATCGTATATCGTACGGACATAGGAAAGGCGGGTGCTTTGATCACTTTATATCGCGTTATTGAGGTTTTTCATCCTAGTCTATGAGAAGAATGTTATTTACGATAAATTTAATAAATGCTAAAGTAATCTTTCGCGCGATTAGTGCACATCCAGTAAAAAAAAAAGAAAAAAGAAAGAAAAAGAGAAATATCGAAGCAAACGATGTGTTTTTACACAATGTGTAGTTCGTTTAATTGCTATATATCAAATGTTGCGGATCGCGGAATCGCAATCCAGATAATGGCATACCGATTAAATTCAATGTAGCAACGGCTAGCGGGGCGTCTACTTCAATTACTTTTTGTGCTTTATCGAACTTTAATCTTTTATAGCAAAACGTTATTTACGACGGGCTTGATTTAATAACGATCCAGACAACGTCTCTCGTGTTGCTCACGGCCAGTGCAAAATAAAGAGAATCGCCGTCCGACGGAAACTCCGGAAACAATCGTACACAATACAATGTACGGTATACACAATAGCCGGCAGCATCATTTAATTTCCCGACTAGACTTTTCTGATGCGAGGGCATTGGGATTAAATCCAACATAAACACATGAGAAAGGCATTCGCTTTAATTATATTGTATCATTTAATGGATTTTCGAAGGTCCGGTAATGGATTATTTAAAAACAACTGCATATATATATATATATATATATATATATATGTGTGTGTAAAGCATATACGGAAGCATAATGATATAGCTAATATAGACTAATGCCTGCCAAACAATAAAGAGCGAAGAGCAAAAATCAATGATTTCTGGCCGCGCTTGATTTTAAGGCTCGCTCTTACAAAACGGCAAAATCACGAGAAGCGCTTCGAACTTGGAAGATTGTCCAAGTGAAAAGAGTGAATAGCACCGAAAATTTTGTTTCAAGCATCGTTTTCTGAAATCTTTGTTAGTCATCCACTGCCTTATCAAAGAGGCAGACCCTGGATCGATACAATGGCTGAAAATCCTCCGTACGGCGTATGCGTTGCTTGGTTGCTTCCTGTAAAAGATGGCTCGACTGTCTCGTAAATTCCGACAACGTGAGGACTCGCGCAGTCTGTTACTACTTTGGCTGGCTCTGCCCTCCCCCTATACCACTATACGTTCACAGTCAATTCTGCACTAAACCCCGACGCTATTACATTTCTACCGAGACGAGGGAGGACCCAGCGGAAGAGGATAATCGATTACGCGGTTTACTTCGCTTCCGCCCTCGGCTTTATTTGGGCCGTGTTATGCTAAATAGCAACGCTATTTATGTACAATTAGACACAGCATATTTTCGTCACATACAATACTTGAGGACGAGAATAGAGATCCGAGAGAGATTCTATAATTTTCTTCAATTTTCTAGAAGCGAAAACAGACTTTTGAAATATGTGTGTGATGCAAATTAATTCTCCAAGTGCAATAAAAAAATTTTACGATGACCCAAGAAATAGCAGATATGTCGTAACATGCCATGTTTCGAGGATTAAGAGAAATACTGGCTCGAGACTAAATTAGAACGAAGCTAACAGTCAAAGCTGCCAGACGACGTCGTTCGTACGGCATCGTCGTCTACGCCATCGTCTCTTACGTTTGCTTCAGCAAGTGTTTAGGCATTGTTCCGTCGCGTCGCGTTGAAGGGACACCACTGCCGCTTTATGGCGAAACCTGACTCGCGTCCGGAATCGCCTCGCTGCGCCGCGCGAAGCGGCGTTTCATTTATTCAAAGTAAGTTATTGCGATCGGCTCGGCCACTATATTACCGGGCGAAGACTCTTCTCCTCCTTCATCCATTTCTCTTTCACCGTTCCCTTCCCCCCCCCCCCCCCCCCCCCCCCCTCTCTCTCTCTCTCTCTCGCTCGCCTGTGTGCGGACCTTCCTCCTCTCCGTTAAAGAGTCAGGTTCCCGGTCTCGATTTCCAGGTAAGATATTCATCTAATTCCTCTCCGATTAGTGGACGACCGAATGGCAATCCCGAGTGCCTATATAAGCTTTTCAACCGTTTGGACAGCGGCCACTAACTTCTCGGTGACCAGACGATCCGTTATATTGTGCACTCATGCCAGCGAGCGCGATCTTTGTCTTAAAACGAAACTGCTGGCTGGAGATAGATATCTAGTGTTCGAGATACGAGTACTCATTCAACATCAATTATATCTACTTACTAGTTAATTACTTGCAGCTGTATATTTATTCCTGCAGAAAGAGATGCGAAAGCGGATCGTTTGAATCTCTCATGGTATATCTATAAATTATTGTTGTGTCTTTAAAAGAAAGAATATGCTAAACGATTAATCAAAGAAGGATATTCTTGAATGTAATTTTATTTATAGCAGGGCGAGAGCTTTCGATCAACATTTGGGCGATTCGCGCCCGAGGTATATCATATATATCTCGTCATATAATTTGAGAGATTCGTAGCGTGAACGAGCCGAATCGCCGCGCCGTCGAGCGCGCTTAGCGCTACGTGAATATGCTGGTGAATGCCGGATACGCAAAGCCGCGGATCTACTCGTTCGGTATGCCATCCGCGCCGCGACGGGGTAGGTAGAACCCTTGGGAAATTTCTTGACAACGGCTGTGCGGGCGCAACATGGGAACAATTTGCAAGCCTGTGGCGGTTCGTAACATTCCTAAGCTCAACGGTAAACGGTTATTCGGGACGCGTCTTCGTACGTTCGTACGTTCGTACGTGCATGTGCGGCCGCGCTCTTGTCCCGTGACGCCAAAGATGCCGCACGGAATTTCAGAATTCGTTGCTGAATTTCGCACCTCCTCTTTCGATGGTCTAACTCTTCTTGCGTCTTTTCCGTCTCTTCTTCTCTTATTTCTACGATCATTCCTTCCTGAGAGAATAACTCGACATAAATTCATTGTTGATTCTAATTCCGTTTTAATTATGTATTATCGTGACGTATAGCTGAAACTATTTTAAATTGTAAGTAGGAGAGGTGTAGGTATAGATATGGAATCCTCAATTAAAAGACAATTACAATTGGCGCTTTTTAAAGTGCTATACTTCTCAGTTCAGGATCGCGCGCAAATCCCCCCTCCATCCCCCCCCCTCTCTCTCTATTCCGCATTCACTTTCATAAATTCGAAAACATTATTGTGAAAAAGAAAGAGCGAGTAAGATGTCGCTGCCAGAAAGAGGAGGATTGTAAATGTCGACGCGAGTGACATGCGTATTTCGAGCACGCCGCAACGAAATCCCGTCTGTTCTATTTGTAGGGCGCCACGGTGATGTTTCACATTGACGTCCCGAGCCTCCTTGGGTTTCGTCTTCGCGCGTGAATCTTCATCGTCAGAAAACTTGAGCCGCTGCATCTTGTGCCTAACGCGATCTTCTGTTGGTGAAAATCGACATGTTATTCGGATGGTAAATATAATACGTCGCTTTATTGTACATACGTCAAATATGGGTACCCTGTTTTTTTTTCCTCATATGATTGCAGATTTGTGTCTATAAGCAGTATTAACATATTATTAATATATTTACTATAGTTATTTATACTGACATTAAAATTACGTATTATTTTATTGTAGGTATCCATTACAACGCGACAAATTATAATTTTTCTTCTTCCATTCATTTAATTTGACATAATTTTACATAATATTGTACACATTGCTAATATTTTTATCGTATGTCTGTGAAAAAGATATTTTGATATCTCTCTCCCTTTACGTAACATATACACAGCGTTTATATATTGTACATTACTTTTATGTATAGCTTTATTAAAATTTTAATGCGTACAATATATAATCTTCTTATTTCCAAATTCTTAATACATCTTTTATGAGAGAAGACAAGATAAACTTCGAGCAGATGCTGCGGTCTTTTTCGCTTCTTGTGTGCTCTTCTTTCCCGTAGGAAAGAAAGGAAGGGAAAGAACGTAAGGGTCGGTGAAAGGGAGGTGAGTGGAGAGTGCCGCGAGTGTAAGTAACGAGTTCAGAATTTCATTAGCGGACGGGCGGCGAGATTATTTTAAAGAGATACGGAATTACCTGATTAGGAGGGAAAAAGTCATTAACTCAGGCGAAACTAATTAACGTTAGGTTTAAGAACGTCCTCTTCTTTTCGTGAATTCACTCTTTGCTCGCCACGATCGCGAGAGAGAGAGAGAGAGAGAGAGAGAGAGAGAGAGAGAGAGAGAGAGAGAGAGAGAGAGAGTTTTTGCATCTGCCATTTTTTCTTTAATTGTATATTTACGCAGTATATACAATTATATTGCCGAAAGAAAATTGATACGTTTTTTCGTGATATAATGTGTCAAGAATGACCTCTTCTTTCAACACCTCATATATTAATTGCATTTATTAAACCAATCATTATTTTGTCTACTGTAATATAATAAAAAATATTGTAGAGAAAATCTCTGAAAATTATTTATTATTTAACAAAAGTCTAAATTGCGTTACAAATTGCATATTATTTATAACATGCAATTCATAATGTGCAATTTAGATTTAATTTTTTAGTGTGATATTATATCCAATGTTGTGGGAAAGAGGATGTTCAACGACCGGATGTTCTATAACTGGGCTTTCTAAACTCACAATCAATGAGAGCATGAAACGGGAGTGCCGGAAAGTAGCGAGTATATTTTTTATATTATATTATATCAGAAGTATGAGTATGGTAGAGAAATCTTGCAGAATAAGGAGATAAGTGCAAACAATAAGTCTCATAGCGAAGAGTTCAGCCAGACTAATCTCGTTATAGTTATGAATCGCTGCACTCAGAATAATGCTACTACTTAGGCGCGCCATTCAAATTAATTTTATTCGCGTGGTGAAGCTAGGAAATATTTCATTATCTGTTCATCATCTGTTCAACAAATATGCGCTTTTGATTATTGATTAATATACAAAATTATATAATAAATTGTGTAAAGAAGATATATCAATTTTATAATTAGAAAAATTATCAATTTTTAAACTTTGTACAAAAGGATACAGTCTTTTCTGTTTTAAATTACAACTAAAATTGAGAGAACATATTTAATCATTAAAATACATATACAGTGAATCACAGAAAGGTTGCAACACTTTTTTTCGATGGGTTTCGAAATGCTGTTCCCCATCGGAGCGGTTAGTTCTTACTTATGAATCTAATCATTTATGTTCAACCGTTCTACGAACAAGGCTGAGTTCCGAAACGTATAAAAAAAGTGTTGCAACCTTTCTATGACCCACTGTATACACTGTTATACGTAACGATAATATGTATAATAATAATGACAGTGTGTTTATGATTATGCATAACAGTAACAGGTGTGAATATTTTCCTTGAAAATACTTATATGTAGAATGGAAACTATTATTTAACCGATCAAATGACTTTTAAGTTGTCAAGATTATCGCAAACGAGACATAATTATGCGATCTTGTCATTTTGTACACGCTTCTTGATGAATATCGCTCGCATTCTTAATGATAATAATCGCTATGAGCTTCAATGTATACATGTGTATATATTATGATATTACAAAGATGCATATAGCGCATAATGATGTCGGAATCGATAGACTGTTTTATATTTAAAATTAGGTAGAAATTAATTTACATATTTAATTTAATAAATATGTATGCAAGAAGCTTTATAATTACCATTTATTCTCTTTATATATATATGTATAAGATTGCATTTAAATCAATACTCGAACATATCAAAGTTCTCTCGAAATTTTTCAAGTTTATTGTTGACCTTTTTTTTTTATTTTATAACACCGATTCTCTCGCTGCGCTTATTTCATGTCATCATATATATTTTGATAGTTGTGTATATCGAGAGGTTAGTATAACCAGTGTAATAATATTAATTGTATTTTTAAGCAATTTAAGTATAGCAAAAAGTAAAAAGCCAAATAGCACGCGCGAAGCGCCCGTCTGTGATGTCCAGTACATATAAATCAGACATATCTAAGCATAATATTTCATATTTAACTTTGTTACAAAATGTAAAACTTGCAGAAATGTAGTAGTTTAAATTTCCTTTTAATTTTAGTTTAGAAGATAAATACACAGTAAAGAAACAAATATGATTAAAAAAATAAAGTTTTATATCTAGATATAAAGATTGCCTCGATCAAGTAATTGTGTAATCTCTTTTCACAAAATCGTGCAAAATATATAAATAAAATTGATTATCTCATCTAATCGTTTAACATTTCGAGATAGAATAATGTAAAATATCATTTTTCTTAAACAAATGTGTACGGTACTTTTAATACTAAGTTAAAATTATCATTCTGGATTAGTCAAATTACCATCAGTATTACTTATCGCAATTTCCATCACGTCTATGAATATACACATGTAACTGATGTGTTTGTATAAATATATCGTGCTTGTTCCTATGTGTTGAAACTATATTTTATTACGTTGGTAGAAGTAAAGACAGTCACAGCTATGACAGTTTACAGCTGAGATAAGAATTGATAGTTTACTTTGAGATAATATGAGCAGGAGAATACTATCCTTGCGTTGTTCGAGAAGATATAAACTAATTTCTTCGTGAATCTTCGTGAATGGTATCGTAGAGATTAGGAAAACGAAGGCGTTATTTAATTAAAACAATAATTGTCATTATTGTTTTGTCGACAATATTACGATATCGTGTCTCGCACCACAACACAGAGCAAGGTGAATTTGCACGTGGCGCTAATTGTATATGATATGAAGACATAACAAACGGTGCAGGGTGCGCGAGATACATGCTTTTTTCGTAGCTTCGTTAACACAGGAAAAGAACTGTTTTACGACGCGTAATTATTGCGCTAATAATTTATCGTGGCTCAAGCATTTAGTAGGGCGATGTTTCGCTGATATCACGTGGCAACGTTCGTGCCGTGTATGCCAGAGAAATATGGGATGCGTATGTACATAAAGGGCACTATTTTTGTACTTGGGTTTTCTAACACAGTGCGTCCTTTCGCTCGACGAGAACTCACAGCACTTCCCGTACATAATACTCGGATAGAATAAAATTGTAGCGCTTTGCGTTATGTGTCAGGTCCTTCCCACAGATCATCACCTCGGGCTTCTTCGTTAAGCGAGGAAATTTTAAGGCTGGCGCATAAAATTGCGACTAAAGCTGGTGACAAAAATCCTCGAGTTATGAGACCGGGCACACCATTTTACCGTGCAAGCATGCAGGTCGTTTCGTCTTCCATGGAAAAGTAGCAGAGAGGAGAAAGCTATCTTTTTGCCTTTTCGCATCTCTCTCTCTCTCTCTCTCTCTCGTCTTTTTTTTGACTATCCAAGCTTTATCCTACCTCCCGCACTCGACCTGCAGCCTTACTTCCCGCTCTTGAGTTGCTTCCTTTCTTCTCCGTATGCAATTCTCATGCATATCTACACGCTTCTTTATGAGAAACGTCTTTTTTCTCCTGTTGTCGTCATCGCATCGTCTTTTTGGATACTTGGTGAGAATATGTGGTTGGCAAAAGGCACACCGTCTTCGTTTTCAGCCGTCCATGATCGAAAACTAGAAGTAATTGTCTTTAGTATGAAACTAATTTCTTTTGTATGAAGTAACAGTCGTACGTATTGACAAAGATTTCAAAATGGTCAATGGTTTCTCTCTTTGATTACTAATTAAGATTGCGCTATTGAAGAATGCAACATTTTGCGCACAATTAACGTTGTTTATTAACCGCTGATGCGTATGTTGCACGAGAACATTAATCTATCGCATCGGCGATAATTAAATTTATTCCGTTTCAATTACAATATCACTGACAGACGATGATGTAGGCAGCCGGTGTACGGCACGTTTAATTGCAGATGCCGTCGAGTCATGAATTACGGATTCTCAATTTTCCGTGTCCGTTTCGACGATGGCAGATCTTTCTTTTTCTGGCGGATCGCTCCATCACGCTTTCGATATTTATGCAACGTCGCACCGACGCGCGACGTAACGATGATCAAGCCTCACTCAGCGTTATGCACCAATGAACTCGAGAATGCAACTTCATCCGGATTGCCCAACGGGCATTTCGGACCAGTCATTCCGAACCGGTTTTGGTTTACAATATAAGTTACGGCGAGAGAAACAGACGGCCGATAAGCTGATAGACAAATCTTCCGCTACCGCTCGAGCGATTATTCTTCGCGCGGCGCGCTTCGCAATCGTTACGTCGGCAAACGACTTTTTAATCGAGGCAATTTGTCGCGAATCGCGCATCGCGTTTAATTAATAAAAACGTTGATTCGCTAAAAATTATTACTTTCAAAAATATTACGGAACATACGTTTTCCCTTATAAACAAACTCTATTGGAATCATAATGATCTTATATCAAGACGTGACTTATTAAAACGCGTAGTAGCGCGGCATGTTTTCGCAGAGAATTGATTAAAAACGATGTAAACGGCTGCATACTTGCTATCTGGCATTTGTTAGGAAATACCTGGAAATATTTTGCATCGACAGTCGATCCATCTTGTCCGCGACAATAATAAATGATAATGATTGACGATTTAATTTCATTCTTATATCCGGTGTACGTTTAAACATTTATGTTTACTATCTATTAATATAAATCATTTAAATATC